TACAGGCCTCTCTCATCTTTTTAAGTGGGAGAACTTGCACAATTGGTGGCTGACTAAATACTTTCTTGCCCCATTGTATATACAGATAGTCCTCAACTTATGACCACGGTAGGGATCGGAAAATTCATTGTTCAGTGTAGTCATTAAGGCATCATGTGACTGCATCTGATTTTACAGCATTTTTGTAGTAGTCATTAAGTGAATCATGGTTGTTAAGTGAATCACATGTTAAGCAAATCACGCAGTTCCCCATTAATTTTGCTTGTCGGAAGCTGGCTGGAAATGTCACAAATAGTGATCACATGGCCCTGGGATGCTGCAACCATCATAAATACATGTCGGTTGCCAAGCACCTGAATTTTGATCCCATAGCCATGGGGACGCTGCAAAGGTTGTAAGTGTGAGGACTGGTCGTAAATCACTTTAGCACCATCGTAACTTCGGATGGTCACTAAACGAATGGTTGTTAGTTGAGGACTACCTGTACATTATTTTACTATTATATTTGTCTTGAGCAAGAATTTCCTATATTACAATTTGGAGGTTTAACATGTCATATCACTTAGTATATTGATAGCTGTTTGTAATTGCTGATATGTAGGTTGATCAGATTTCTATATCTAAATATGTTTCTTTTTTAGAAGTTACTGAAGAGCATTCATCTCCAACTAGAATCAGGTAAGGAGCTATTCAGTGGCTGGAAGGTTAGTTAGGATACAGAATATCCTGGTACACAGACAATAGTTTCTACACTATAAAAATGTCTTAAACTTAATTCTTGGGTGACCAGGAGAGCACAGCCATGTGGTTTTCTTGACAATCTTACTGAAGTGACTTAGGATTGCCATCTTCTAAAATGTTCTTCAACTTTCAAGTGTAGCCTATGGTATTTGGTCCTCTATCCAAGTAGTAACCAGGTCTGATTCTGCTTAGCTTCCAAGTCCAGACACAACCAGATGCTGTCAAATGTTAGGAGGAATACAAGTTCAGTGAAACTTTGTTTTGATCTTTTGAGGGGAGCGGGTGTCTGTTCCTGAATGATTATTAAATACAAAAGTACATCATTGCTGCAATTTAGGTAATGTTATCATTATGCAAGTGATGTAAAATTACATCATTTGTGGCAATTTTTGTCATATGTTGATGTCTTACAAATTGTCACAGATGTAAAATTCATGGACTGCCTTATCCAGATACTTTGCCTGCAAGGACCTGTGTGTTATTGCTGGAGGCTGTCAGGATCATAATTTGGTCAGTTGCATTTGAGGAAGGCTAAATGGGGTTCCATTAAATTCATTTGTATAATATAATAAACATCTGTTAAGGTAGTAAATTGATTCATTGTATGGGAAAGGACCTATTTAGTTGCAGCATATACAGTTCAGGAATTTATCTTGCTAAGATGATTTAAAATAGTAGTTTTTCTCTTGGCTCTGTCCACTTAACAAGCGGCATGCTGTAGGCTGCATTCAAAGGCCAGGTAAACACTTCAATTCCTGACTTAGAATGGTTGTTTTTAACTCCAGGATGTAGCTCTGTGTGTTGAGTGTATGTATGTGTTTTGTAAACTTCAGTGACTACTACATATTTCCTCAATAAGGGAATCCTATGGGATGAACACATGATACTCTGCATTCTCCTGCAGGACTATTGCAGAATCATTTATAATGCAGTTTCACAGAAACTCTAGTGACATACTTTCTCTAACATAAACTTGACTCTTTTGAGGCTATGAAATTGTGTGGTATATCTGGCAAATCTTATTCCATCATACCAGGATCTTATTTCTTTATACCTGTTGGGAAAATGTCTAGAGAGATTCAGGATTATTATCTCAGACTGCCTGTGTTCTGGTGGCACTTGCACTAGTAAGTGATCATAGTCATCTGATGTCTGTCTGTATTGTATAAATTTTTTGAGCTGATGACAAGTTCAATTGTGTTTTCTCTTCTGGGGCTAAGTTACTGTCCAATATTATAGGAAGACAGAAAATATGTCCTTACAAGCTAAAAGGTTTGTTAGAAGGTCTAAATGTTCTACTTATATTTAGTAATTCATGTTGTTAAATTAATTGAACTGTTGTTAATATGTTTCCTTAGTAGGTGAATATGTTAATAGGTCCTTTCTAGCACATGTTCTAGAAGAGATTGATTTGCATTAATAGAGGGCTAGATGTCCATACAATATTGCCTCTTATCCAATGTAAACTGAAAAATTTATAAGACAAAGGTTACAAGTATAGATCTTGACTGCTCTCTTCTCTGTCCAAAGATGTTAATTTATGGACAAATTATATTCAGTGTTTTCCCTTTTCTTTCCCTTTGTCAAGTGATGAAGAAGAAATGCTCATCAGTGAAGAAGAAGTTCCCTTCAAAGATGATCCCAGAGATGAAACTTATAAACCCCATTTAGACAGGTGCTCTATTTTATTTTAGGTATAGAGAGCAATTGTATAATGTCAGTCTAGCCTGTTGAAAACTATCTCATTGCTACATCTCTTATTATTCTGCTAAGTTTCCGCTATCATGAGTAAGTAGACTATTTGTTAAAAATCAAGGCCAAGAGTATGCATATTTAAAATTGCAGAAATGACAAATACCAAAAAAAAAAAATCCATGTTGAAGAACTGTCTAAAAACTTAAGTATGAAATTTAACTATAGTATTCATCTAGAAAGGATGTTCATTCTTGGATATGTAATGTATAATAATGGTTATCTGCAGGGATGCTCCAAAGCAAAGGAAAAAAACTGGGAAGGGAAAAGAAGAAAAAGAGAAACAGAAGGAGATTAAAGTGGAGGTGGAAGTTAAAGAAGAAAGTGAGTTTCGGGAAGATGAGGAACCACCTAGGAAGTGAGTATCCAGGTGTAAAATGTTGTGAATTAGGGTGTAGTCCTGTTACCTTCAGTGATGCCAAGACTGAAAGAAACGAAAGGCCTCGAAATGCCTTAGCTATAACTGGAAGTCAAAAAATTTGCAGTTAAGCAGTTCTGTAGACTTTCAGATCCACTATAGTAGCCCTTCCCTAACCAAGTAGGATCCATATAGATATAGGTGTAGGTATAAAAATACCATATTTTTCCGACTATAAGATGATACTTTTTTCTAAAATCCTTACCCTAAAAACTGAAGGGCGTCTTATTCAAGGAAGTCAGCCGAGAATCGCGCGGTTGCAAAACTGCCCATACTTTGTTTCTGCAGAGAGGCTTCCTCCTATTGCTAGCCTCCAATCACGAGTGAAATAGCTTGTCTCCCAAACAGACTTCCTCCAATCACGAGCCTGATGTAACTGACGTCAGCTGATGCTGAACAAACCAATTAGAGGAAGTCTGTGTGCAGAGACAAGCTATCTGCAGTTTCACTCGTGCTTGAATGTAATCAGTTATGCAAAAGAGCCTGGAAATAGAGCTGCAGAGAGACAGTTTGGACCTCCTCCCACCGAGTGTATCAGGTAAATGTTAACTAATTACTAAATAAAAATGTGTTCTGCACTATCTTTAAAATATTGAGTTCTTAATTTCGGGTTGGAAAAGTGGGGATCGTCTTGTACATGGGGGCGTCTTATTGTCGGAAAAATACGGTAGATATATGGGACTGTAGCTTCCAGCATGACCCAGCTTGGGTTTCTGGAAAGTTTAGTCCTATTTCATGTGGAGAGCATCCTTTTGGGGTTACCTCTGATTCTTAACCACAACATTAGGATTTATATAAATCTGCCAAAGCTCAAAGATTAGCTTCCAGAACCCTTGCTCATCTCACATGTAAGATTAAGCTGGCAGAATAGTATAGAGACTTTTCTGTGATGGTCCTGTCCTTGTGGAATGTCCTAACTGAGATTCATATGTATCTCTTTCCATTACTGTTTTTAAATGGGCTTTACAGGCCTAGCTATTTCAAGACTGATTTTAAACAAATGGATGCCCATTTTTATTCTACAGTTTTTTATTCTACAGTGTTTTAAACATGTGACCTATCTTGAGATAACTGTACTTCAGATGTTAGTGGAAATTATATTAAATAAAAATAAACATCTATGAAGTATGCCCTTTAACATAGACATCCAGAAGGTATTGTGTTTAGGAAAAATAATTATTTTCAGGAGAAAGCAGCTTGCTGCTGTTCATCTCACATTTTGTTAGACTTTAGGAATCCTAATACGGTGCTGTAAAAAGAGGAGGGAGAGAGTTGGCTGAAAAAATACTTTGTGTAAATTCTGAAGGCCTATTTGTGATTATATATTTTATACTAATTTTTGTATTTCTTATTTCTGAAGATTGTGTAGTACCCAAGCATTTATAGGAAATGTCCTGCAGTCCTGTTTTCAAATCTTGATTAACACAGAAGAAAACAAGAACCTGACATTTCGGTTGTTGTTGTTATGTGGATATTAGATCTTGTGACCATGTCCTTTGTATAAAAGTAGATATAATTTTCAGGAATATTGAAATAGAATGCTTCGCTGTTGCTTTACTCCAAGCTGTAATCTCTTAAAATACCACTAAAGAAGTCAAATTTGCATCTGAAATACATTTTAAGTAGAAACATTTTGAACTAGAATATGGTTTGATTCTATAGTTTGGATTATAGGTTTATGAATTCAGGGCCTGTTTCCTAATATCTTCAGGATTCTAAGATGCCTTATTCTAAAGTGCCTCTGCATCTTTGCAGAAAACTAATGAACAGGGCTGTGCATGTTTCAGAAATGATTCAGAAGAAATGCTTCAGAGCTTGTGTAAGCATAGTACCTCTCTGTTTTAAGAGTTAAATTACTTGATTCTGTTCTAGTTACTATCTTAAAAAAATAGGATGGAGGTATCAGCCAGTTTTCCCTATCCCCAGCTTTGGGGGTGGGGGGGAATCCTAAGAGGGAAACTCCAGAAACTCCTCAAATGAGATCTGAGCATGCTGAGTGACACAGAATGCTGACTGACAGTTAGAATGAGATGAGAGCAAAAGCTGAGCTAGCATATTCTAGAAAAGGTATGGCTGCTTGAACTCTAAACACGATCATCCCACATAGCAACATGTTGTATCTTTCCCACTGCTACTTTTATATGCTGTTGCCTTGATCTAGTGAAGAAATGAATGTTAAGAAGTGAATGTCAGTACTGTCATATTTTGATGGTACTGATTGTTTTCAAGAAATCTTGAATTTAGCTGTCCTGTATCTTACAGTTCCTAATTAAATGTCATATACTGCTAAACATTTAAAAAATATTTTTAGTTCTCTAGAAACTTCCAACTTACATACATTCACTTGTCTGGTCAGTAGTAAGCAGCCCTCCCTCTTTTGTTGAGAGAATTTATCCCTTCCCAGAGAGCTCAGAAGAGAAGGTAGGGGAGGGGACTCCTTTTGCATGCTAATATTTTTTGCAGGAAGAGAGAAAAACCTCTGCAACAGGGCTGGGTAATGTTTGTAGGATAAAGGATTGTAACTCAGCTTCCTGTCTTTCTGAAGAGCCAAAGACAGTAGTGCTACTATGTAATCAAGGGTAGTATGGTCAGTTTTTTAGCCTGTTTTTTATTCGTTCTGAGGTGGGGATAGAACAGGAAGACTTCCCCAAAATAAATTCCTTAAAATCATGTGAAAAACAAGCTGAAATCCACTGGAAGTCAAGTGGCCACTCTAAAAGAGAGAAACAAAACGCAGACTTTTCCTGATAGGTGAGAGAAATAGGCTCTGAATAACAGATTAAAATGTATCACTCAAATGCAAAGTTCTTCATTTAGGAAGAAAGTGATCAGTTTACAGAATGGGGATAGCTGACTTGATGAAAAAGATTTTGAAATTGCAGTAGATCACAGACTCAAAATATGGGTCAGTGGTGTAATGTAGCTGCAAAGGGCCACAATCTATTCCCTCATTCCATGCCATCATATAGGACACAGAATGATGAACAAGATATGAGAAGGCAGGTTGAACCTTAGAATTTTTTAAAAGAATCTTTCTCACAGTAAGAGCAGTTCAGCAATGGAGCAAAGTAGTTTTGGATGCGATGAGTTCTCTTTCACTAGAGGTATTCAGGTAGAGAAGCTGGGCAGGGCAGCTATTTGTCAGGAATGCTGTACTTACAATTCCTACACACTTCTGGAGATTGTTCTTGGTGGGCAAAAGACCTTTTCAGCTCTTGTTTTATGACAAGATGAAAGAAGATTATGTAATAATATATAAGATTGGCTAGGAAGCCAAGCCATACATTCTGCATTGTAGAGATATTGCACTGCTAGAAGGAATCTCCAGTATGCAGGGAGTGATATGCCTGGTTGTTTGAGAATTAGGTACATTAGAACAAGTTCTGTGCACATTAAATAAATGGTAAACATTTATGGAGCTAAAATGCATTGTGCAGAAACTACTGTTTCCTATCCTTGTGTTTCCCTAAGTGGTGGATTTTTGTATAATCAGTGCGCTTCAAGTACAGTTACATATCTGCAGTTAACCTTTATCTTCAGCATTTTACCTTGTCTTGATGTTTCAGGAGAGGAAGGCGGAGAAAAGATGACAAAAGCCCACGACTTCCTAAAAGAAGGTAAGTTGTTTTTGTATTGCTTAATAAGATAATACAGCACAAATCTAGCTGCCTAATTAATTATTATTTAATGATATATTCATCTTTAAAGAGCCTTCTCTTGCTTTTTAGGTGTTGTATGGAATTAATGAAAGGAAACTTGAGATACAGTAGCAGATAAATGTAGCATGTCTATGTAAAGTTCATCTGCTCTTTGCTATTTGCAAAGAAGCTATACCTAAAGTGATACCTTGCTAAACTGCATTGTAGCCTTACATCTAGGGATCTTTAAATGTTATAAATATAGAATATTTTTAGGAGTTATTAAAATGTAATCCTATGTATTTATTAAACCTGGTCATCTAAGAAAAAAATATAGAATCTTTGCCATTTATCACACTACAGGTGAATTCATATAGTCAAGGCTGTGTTGAATAAGTCACACAAGTATAGCAAATTCCATAAATCTGATTGCAAGCCAGCAATTTAAAAGGATAATAACATCTCCAGAAGTTCTGATTTTCACAATTTGTTGTTCTCAAGAACTGTGTTTAGCTCTGGTTGATAACTTAATCTTCTAAAGAAAGGGCTGAGAAATTGTGTGGAACAAAACATAAGTGGAATACAATATTCTTTCTTATGGTGGATTTTAAAGACTGCACTTATTCTAAATTACTTGTAATGTATTTAACATGAACTATATGTTAGTGATGAAGTTAAACCATTTAATGTGGCTTTTAACACTGCTTACCTCTTATAGTACACAAAATTATTATCCACTAACGTGTACATTAGAAAGGATACTGTGTTATATTTATAACATTTGTCAAAGTTATGTTGTTCTCTCTCTGTTGCTCACTTGTGTGTATTTTAGGAAGAAGCCTCCAATACAGTATGTACGTTGTGAAATGGAAGGATGTGGCACAGTTCTTGCACACCCTCGCTACCTACAGGTGAGAATAATGTTTACAAGCAAAGGAAAGAAAAAGAGATGACCAGCTTTGTCCTCTATAAATTTCTTCTTTTCTTCTGTTCTGTGGATTGTACTAAACAACACTGCAACAATTCTCTGATGCTCCAGATTCTAAGAATCCCAAATGTTTGTTTTGTACCTTAGTAAGGCTTACCTCTCATCCCTGTTCATGATTCTCCTCAAATGCTAAATTGTAACTTATTTATGCAAAAGTGAAATATCTTTCACATCACTGCTAATGATCTTCATTGCTAGTTTTTCTTTTTAAAAAACTTCATTCCAACTTTGTTTTTGCTACATTTGATTACTCTTTCCGAATTGATTCCCTTCATGTGACACATCTCTGTGATTTTACATCAATGATTCCCTTCCTTTATATTTAAGGATTTGATGTTCTTTCTGTATGCTTTGTTTCCCTGGTAGCCTTACTCATTTTCTATATCCATTGAAAACTTTCTCACTCATCCTACTAGTCAAACAGAGCCTTGGATTTATTGACTCCTTTCTCCTTCCCCCACCTCCTGTTGAGTTTTGCTGCTAACTTTCGTTGCTTCTCCCTGCATAGCATTCCAAAAACACAGCATTCCATTCTTTTCTTTCAGCAGAATTCCTTTCTGTGTCACAATAATTTCTTACCTTGACTATTGCAATCTTTCTGGTCCTTTATCGCACCTTCATCCACTCACACACATCCCACACCGTATTGAGCCAGTTTGGTGCAGTGGTGAAGGTGCTGGCCTAGAAATCAGGAGACTGAGAGTTCTAGGCCTGCCTTAGGCATGAAAGCCAGCTGCATGACCTTGGGCCAGACACTCTCCCTTAACCCAACCCACCTCTCAGGATTGTTGTGGGGAAAAGAGGAAGCAGGAGTATTAGGTATGTTTGCCACCTTGAGTTGACCAAATATCTGTCTAGATAAATTTTAAAAAGTGGGATAATAATCATAATAATAGTAATGAAATTATGCAGTTCTCATCATTCTGAATATATTGCTTCATTCCTTACATCCCTATAATTGGCTACTCTCAGATCCTACATTAACGTCTTGTCCTATTCTTTAAAGACCACCATAGTCTTGCCTTTCATCTCTTTTGGCACCTACAATATTTACCTTAAGGGAAAACTGTTCCCTCCCCCCACCAAACAAGGGGGAAGTGGAGAATGGTTCTTAAATTAATTAAGAACATGATAATGGATACATTTGACTATAGAGGGTTACTGTAATATTGTATTGATGTTGTATTTTAGTCCCACCTTAGTTCTGAAGCCAACTGGCTGACCTTGGGCCAGTTCTTCTCTCTCAGCCCTAGGAAGCAAGCAATGGCAAACCACTTCGGTAAAACCTTGTCAGGAAAACTGCAGGGATTGCAGTCAAAACTAACTCAAAGGGACCAAAAAAAGAAATGTCCCTACTGCAGAAGATCTGTACACATAACACTTCCAGCATATGATCTTTTAAGTTCTTCATGTTTTAATCTGTACATTTATATTGAAGTACAAGATGGCTATTAGAATATTAGATGTGAGTTTGCCACTATTTTTTTCCTGCTAAGTTCACAGGTAATAAAAATACAAACTTTTCTTTGTTTTCAGCATCACATCAAATATCAACATCTGCTGAAAAAGAAATATGTATGTCCTCATCCCTCTTGTGGGCGACTTTTCCGGCTCCAGAAACAACTGTTGCGGCATGCCAAACATCACACAGGTAATATGGGTTGCAGACCAAAATCCCCGCTCTGTCTCTTAAAGGAGGAGAGTAAATTTCTTACTGAATACCCAAGTCTTTAAGTATAAAATGCACAGTTGATGCAGATTGCTTCATGACAGATAGACAGATGTTGTTCTATGGCTACATTTAAAACAATGAGAATGACCCATACTGAATGAAGCAGTTAGGATATTACTGCTTCCGGTCTTTTAAAATTTCCTTTCCTCATTTCTTTTAGCTCTGATAGAGATTAGAATAAGATGCATTATTACACTGATAGTGATCTTCATAGTATAAGAGGTATTATGCAATGAATTATTATTTTGCAGTTGATATAAATAAAAGGAACAATACAGTATATGAAATCAGGTAATTGGAGTAGACTGCTTATTTGACAGAAAGGTCACTTTTGCCAAGGTTGGGCAGTACTGACTGCCTTCTCGTGTCCCCTGCTGTTTTCTCTCTATTTTCATAAAATCTGAACTTCCTTAGGTAATATATGAAGTTTCTGAAGGAATAAGAGCAAAAATGCACATATTTCCATTAAGATATGTATAGCTGCTTTCACCAATCTGGGTGAACTCTTGGAATAAGCTTCAACTCCCATAATTCCACTGGTATATGGAAATTAGCGGTCCCACTGTCATTGAACAATGAGCAGTATGATCTTCCATACCTTCATAGAAGAAATATATATTTGCCTTTTGTTGGCACAGAATGAATATGGATAGATCTTTCAAATATAGTGAGAAAGATTTGCATTTATTTCCCCTCCCTTGGAGGAAGAAGGAGAACTAGAATGTATAAATCTATTTCTCAGAATAAGAATGGGACTGTTTCCATAAGATTTTATTTGTATTTGAGAAATACATCCTCATCGGTATTAGAAAATCATGTTTATCCTTTTAATGTTCTAAAGTATTTTTCTTAATATTGTGATTAAGGGCATAGCAGATTCCTGTTGAATAGGTATGGATCTGGGTTAGATGCAAGTTTTGTTGTAAAATACTGTATGCTGTGTTACAGATCAAAGGGATTACATTTGTGAGTACTGTGCCCGTGCTTTCAAAAGTTCCCACAATCTGGCAGTTCACCGAATGATCCACACAGGCGAGAAGCCATTACAGTGAGTAGTGTCCTTGACCTTGCCTACTTTTGTCATGAGGGATTAGACAGCTATATCAATAGCTTGTTTTCCTTTATATTTCTCACATTTTATTCTGATGAATGAATTGTCTTCTATTCCTTCTCATTTTTCTGTAGATGTGAGATCTGCGGATTCACCTGCCGGCAGAAGGCCTCATTAAACTGGCACATGAAAAAACATGATGCAGACACCTTTTACCAGTTTTCATGCAATATATGTGGAAAGAAGTTTGAGAAAAAAGACAGCGTTGTAGCACATAAAGCCAAGAGTCACCCAGAAGTGCTTATTGCAGAAGCACTGGCAGCCAATGCAGGGGCTCTCATTACCAGCACTGACATCTTGGGTTCTGATCCAGAGTCTATTGTCCAACCCACTGATGGCCAGGGCCTTCCCCTTCTTCCAGATCCCATTGGAAACACCACTCCTGGAGAGTGCCTATTGCTGAACCCTGATGGGATGCCTAAGGCATACTGCAGTGGGGGTGACCGGGTCAACCTAATGGCTGATGGAAAAATATTTGTTGGCAGTGCTAGTGGTGAGAATACAGAAGGGCTGGTCATCAATACAGAGATTCTTGGAGCTACCACTGAAGTTCTAATTGAGGATTCTGATTCTACAGGACCTTAGTGGGAGAGGAGCACAAGTGTATTGGGACAACTTGAACTTGTATTTAAAAGAATAAATGGGGAGAAACAACTTACTCAACATAGAGAAACTAAAAATAAATAAATAAATAAATTACTAGTCAGATAACTAAAGGACCTGCCCCCCTTCTGCCCCAGCTCGCCCCTTTCTTCCAGAGTGGATCACTACACTACATGTTCTTTCACTGTTTCCTTCTTGGAGAGGAATGTTGCCTTTACACAGAGATTGACAGAGCAAAAGAATTCTTGCAATGCAGGGGAGGGAAGCAGCCAGAGCCTATCCCTCTCCCAGCCCTCCCAAAGTAAGCAAACCTCCTGCTTCTTGACCATATTGCAAGACTGAAAATGCTTATACTCTGGACCAATATTTCATTCTCGAAACTGTATTTTGTTCCTCCAGTTGTATCAACCTGTTCTATGCATTACTAAATTCTGACCCTTGCAGGCTCTTATTTTTCATTTTAGGGCTTGGGGATATAGCTTGGCACTTTAGAACCCCTCCTTAGGATGAGCTGTAAAACAGCGTATTTTCCCCAACTTTTGCATCTTCCCATCCATAAGAGAAAGGATCTTGATACTTTGGTGCTTGCTTTCTAAAAGAGGAGTGCCATCCTTCTATATAATTGCTTTGGTGCAAAAGACCTGTGGGAGAATCAGAATGGGTGCTAGGCTTATAAAAGAAAACTTGCACTTTGAACATGTCTCTTTTTTTTAAGTTGTGGTAAATTCCTTATTTATTTGCCTTTTTAAAGGGATCTGTCTTAGTTGCTGTCTAGGGAGTGTTTTCTTTCAAAATTGAACATCCTGTGTAAGGGATATAAAACAGAATGGGCTTCTTCAGCAAACCATGTTTAGGAACCCTTGTTCAGCCTGAGTGAAGGAAATGTTTGTGGAGCAGGATAGGTCTCTAGCACCCTTTCTAGTGAGCTGTGAGGCTCCTGTTTGGTTCAGCATTTACTGTTTAAGGAGCAGTGGCTGTTCAAGAAAGTGGGGTCATATATTCCCTCACCAACTTCCCTGATATTTGCTCACTTACACTGTGGTGCTTTTCTTTTCTAACGTTGATGGGCTAATGCCATTAACAGCAAGCTTAGTCTTGAGGAAGTTATATTAACTGCTTTTTTTAAAAAAAAACCCTTGGCTGCTAACATGCTCTGCCTCTGACACTTTGATGCAATCCCTCAAACTTCATTTAGGGACATTATTTGACCTAGAGTAATAGCGGCACCAGCTTTACTCAGCATTATGTCCACTATTCTCAAATAGATACAGTTGTTACTGTGAAATTTGGTAGTTTGAATATCGCCAGACAGGTCTAGATTTGGGGGGGACAGAGTTTAAAAAACATGGAAATATTTTTAAGAAGTATTTAGCACCTGATTTACATAAGCTCTTCCTGTTACCTGAGAGCTTATGATGGTACAATATCTTTGTAGTACTTCTTTCTTTTAATGACCTGCCATATTCATATGATCAAGGAGTAAAATGAATTTGCATCTTAGACTTTATTTTGGAGCTATATCCTGTATAGTTCTAATCCCTGCTGTGTAGTGCTGCTTGGCATTAACTACAGTTATTCCCAGCAGATCTTTTTACAGTGCTAATTATCTGGAGGGAAGACTTTGTTAGGTCAAAGCTAAGAATCAACAGGGTCTAAAGTGAAGCAGTTACTGCAACCCATTCCATATCTTCTGTGACTGCTGCCTGGCTGGAAGTTTGGCAACCACTCAGATTATAATGTGTAGGTGGTACTGCATGCAGCTTAGCACTGCATGTTCCACAAGACTGCTACAAATTATTGTGTAATTAAAGTTGATGCGAGAAAAGTATTTGAAGCTGAAAGCATGTGCATACTACTGAGGAAACTCTTCTATCTTGACTACAGTATGCAGTATTTTACTATCATTACGAACAAATAATATGAGCCCTGTTCGGCAAATTACTTGAAGTATTTACCCAGTTTGGCTATCAATCTCTTGTCTGCTTCTTGGTCCCCCTCCCCCACTTCATTGGGTGCAAGTGTGGTTTTATTAAAATAATATTTTGTATTTAGCCAGGATAGTCACTTGCACTCTAGGTGAAAAACTTCTGATTTAGATTTGTGACATAAAACCATTATATCAATCAAAAATAGTCCTTTAATGTTCCCATCGTAAGCATGTAGTTTTGATTCAATCAATTACAGCTGCAGCAAATTATTTCTATTTTCTTCTAGTAAATCCCCCCCCCCTTTTTTTTCCTTCACAGAAAGAAGCATGGTGCTGGGAATTGAACTTGTATAATTTTCCCTCTACCAGATGGATAGTTTACAGTAACTAGTTTAACATTGTTCCACTCCATATACAGTTCCATAGTCTAGTAATACCTATTAGGTTACTCTGGTTCTCTAAGCATTGGATCCCCTTCCTGTTAATATTAAAGGATGGTTCATATCACCGTCTGTCAGAAGCTGACAAAAGAGCTTTTTTCTTGTCACATGAATAAGGATTCTCTTTTTAGCCTTTTATTTTAACAGCAACAAATTATAACTGGTGAGAACAAGAAGTTCAGGTGTTCTTCAAGGACTAGTCTTCTATTGTGTGAAAAATAGTCCATCTACTTCAAATAGTATCTGATAAATGGCACAATGCTGAAGTCTTTGCAGCTGGAGAGGATTGTCAGATCCCTGGTAATATGGTAGTGAAGACCTGGGGGAACTGTACTAGCATTGTGAATCCTACCAGAGAGAGGACAGGGTTTACAATTTTTAGCAGAACTACCTGAAGTAGTAGCCACTGAGTGGCAACAGATCTGTGTTGCATTGTGGCACACCCTTATTTTTTAGTGTTAACAGATGGTTGAGTTAACAAGTCTTTGATTCCTTAAAAGCCTTGTTGCATACAAAATTTCCACAAAGTGATAGTGGAGATTTAGGTGGGGTGCCAGGATGGAGGGGCAGTGATCCATGTTGATAAAGGTTTGTGTATACAGAAGTAAATAAAACAATTAAAAGGGATGCTTTGTTTTTTCATCTCATGTCTAAGTTTGGGAAGCCATAACCAAAATAAATACTTAAAGGGAAAAACAGTCTGTGTCATGTTACATACCAGCTACATGGAAAATGTTCAAGCACAAATGAAGTTGCTTCCCATACATCACAGTAGTGCGGATCTTTCTGCAATGTCCTGCTGCTGAAGATTGCCTATGGAAGAAGCAACAAGTGAGACGTGACTAAATGGAGCACCTGAATCAATTACCACTCCCACAAGGGAATGCATTTTTTAAAAATGTGGCTGATCCTATTTGAATGGTTGATTAACTTGCATAACTCCTGTGAAATTACCTCTAATATATTTGAAATTGTCCCAAAAAGTGTGCATTACTTTTGGAAATTTCCTGAAAAGTGGCTGTAGATTAAAATGCTACTGCATTCTTTTAACAAAGGAGGTAACAACCTATTCTCCCGCATCATAATAAATTCAATATTTCTATATCGATCTTCAGAACCTTTGGAAATAATTTTTTGCTTCTAGTAGAGAAACTGGGCTGCGGAATTAATAGAAGAGTATTGTTTATGATTCAGTATGTTGTTTTAAAGGTGACAGCTTGAAGAGAGAATCGTGGGTGAATAATACTTAGGGAGCTGTTAGGAAAGGATGGGATGATCCCTAGCTGAACAAACTTAATTATGCGTGCCCCATGAACTCAGAAGAGTGTAAGGTGCCATTTTCTTTTGAGGTTCCTGAATGTTCTGAATAATTTTCCTTCCCTTTGTAGCCAGTGTAGGAGATTACATACATCAGCTCCAGAGATGACATTTCTAGGGAACGGAATGGTGTTTGATTATGCATTAACTATGTAAGTGACATTGGCCCTGTAACATTTGAATATGGACTACCCCTTCAAATGTGGAGTAAATCTTTAGTTCTGAAATGTCCTTCAAGGAGCCATAGAACATAAGGTTCGTAACAAAGGCAACAGTAGTACCCATATTGTTTCTGATATCTATTAGAAAAAGGAAACCAAGTTGGAAGCATGTCATCCCAACTTTTTTCAAAAATATTCTGGAGGGTTGTATAGGCTTCTGCCACCCAGAATCATTTATTGAGATGGGTAGCTATTCAAATTGATTAAACAAATACATTTCAGTACAATAAAGGAAATTGGAGCAATCTGCCTTATTTGTGTTTCTGATAAGATGCAGTAAGGTACTAAATGGCTAAAAGGTTATTAGTACATAACAAGGCTTGTTTCAAAGTATGTTAAATGTGGCTGGATTAGTGTGTCTTTTAGAAAAACATCACAACTGCACCATATGGGAATGTGGCATATTAGAGAGGAAAGGTCTGAAAAATGTTTTATGAAAGCCAATGAGTTCAAGCCAGATTCTTGAGGCCGTCTATAGTAGACAATAACATTGATGGGTAGGATTTTGTCATACGGCTGGAGTTACTATACACTTAGCACTTGCAATAATTGACAACGCGATGCAGAAACTGACCTAGGATAGGGAAACTTCAATGCCATCTTAAAACCTTAAAAAGCATACTATTATTAGGAAAACAGCATAATAGAGCTTATTTTGCTAATTGGAAATTAACTATGAAGCAATTATGAGTTACATTTTCACTCACAAATCTAGTATGGTTTAATGGGAGCTCTGATAGTCCCTCTTGAAAAGTTCATGACATCTTAGGTGCTTGATGGGGGATTGTAGTTCCTTTGGGAAATTAAGGTTTGAATTGTCTTGTGCAGAATATTAAAAAAGTGTTTTGATGGATCATTAGATGTTAAAGTTAATTCAGTATCAGATTGGTTTGTTTTATTCAGATTACTAGAAAAAAGAAAGCTTACTGCCTTACAGAAGTTGGACCTTGGTTATCTTGTACTTTGGATTCTACTAAAACATCCAGTTTACTTTCCTCTTGGGCTATAAAAACAAGAGCCACAGAACTCTACCAAGCTGACTGAGGCGACATGACATAATACAACCATACGTAGCAATAGTTTGATGGGCAATTTTCTGCTACAAAACTACTTTGGTTCGAGGGCAATTTGCAGTTGATAATATTTTTATATTTCACCTTACTTCCTAGAATGTTAACTTTATTTAAGATATTTAGTAGCTTGTCCTTTATTCTTGCATGGAAGCTAATCTTTTAGGGCAATCATTAAAACAACAACAATCACATCAAACACATAGTACAGCATCAAATAATAAAACATGTCTTATAAAATAAACTCTCAGGGATTTTTTAAAAGTCTTTTTTAAAAATAGGGAAAGTTATCTCGATCTTCTTGAGAGTTCTTAATGTTGGGCCCATTATAGAAATTTATGCAACAAGTTAAAGAATGCATGATTAAATGGGCAAAAAATATTGGATATAATATACATATGCAGCAATGGGAAAATATGTGGTCTAAAGGATTAAAATTTACTTTATGTTATAATTTGAAAGAAAATTTTTATAAAATGTATCGATGGTACATGACACCCCAAGGATTATCAAAGATGTATGGGACAATTTCCAACGTTTGTTGGAAATGTAACCAACAAGAAGGGTCGTTTTACCATATGTGGTGGACATGTAAAATTGCAAAAAAATGAAGCTATCTATTTTTCATGCCTTTCTTCTTTTCCTTTATCTCACGTTTTCTTTTCCTTTTTCTTATAATTTGTATTTTTCATTTTCTTTTTCATTTCTGACCTTTAACCTTGTAATTTTAAAATTTCAATAAAAGAAGCTATCTATTTTTCATGCCTTTCTTCTTTTCCTTTATCTCACGTTTTCTTTTCCTTTTTCTTATAATTTGTATTTTTCATTTTCTTTTTCATTTCTGACCTTTAACCTTGTAATTTTAAAATTTCAATAAAAGAAGCTATCTATTTTTCATGCCTTTCTTCTTTTCCTTTATCTCACGTTTTCTTTTCCTTTTTCTTATAATTTGTATTTTTCATTTTCTTTTTCATTTCTGACCTTTAACCTTGTAATTTTAAAATTTCAATAAAAGAAGCTATCTATTTTTCATGCCTTTCTTCTTTTCCTTTATCTCACGTTTTCTTTTCCTTTTTCTTATAATTTGTATTTTTCATTTTCTTTTTCATTTCTGACCTTTAACCTTGTAATTTTAAAATTTCAATAAAATATTATTATAAAAAAAAATTATGCAATTAGGGATTAGCACTGTCCCTAGTACTAATCAGTCTAAAAACTCTTACAGGACCGTGGAAGTCAATCCCAACTTTTGGGCAAATTCATATTATGGATCTTTCTTCAGATCAGGTTGTTTTAAGCTATTTAAGAGTTTTAAATTTAAAAATGGCATCTTAAATCGTGCAGTCAGTGAAACCTGTGCAGAATAAAATATGTTCAAAATGGCTAATTCCTTCATGTTTCATGCTGCCACATTTTGCACCACACAAATTTTTTTTGGACTGTGTTTAAAAGCATAGGGTGCATTATACCAAACCATCTTGACTAGCCAAGACAAATGTTTCAGAAGCAAGGCCCCCTTGATATATGACTGTAGTTGATTTAAAATTTAAAAAAACTCCTAGATAACGCTGATGCTTGTGCTCCCATAGAAAATGTTGACTCCAAAGGCTCCCCAAGCCATACACCTAGTGCATTAGGCAAGGGAGTTGCAGAACAGAAGACTAGAAAAGACTACACAAGATTTTTGGTAACATCTATGACTGTCTTTAAAAAAAAATTAAGGAATATTGAATTAAAGCATTATTACAGTGGTACCTCTAGTTACGAACTTAATCCGTTCCGTGACTCTGGTTGCAACTC